CAGTTTTGTGGTCCTCGTATGTGCCCCTACAATATGCACAAGACCATTTTCAAAAAGCTCACCACGCCCTGAACGACCTCCCTTGTTAGCTCCACTGGTTTCCCATGCAGATGTGACATTCATGTTCAGGTGTGAGCTACCCCTGCAAACAACTTTTCAGCAGAATCTGCCCGCGTACAAAAAACTTGATAAAGAAATTGCCTGATTTTGAAAGATTCGGGTAGTAATAAGTGAATAGTGCCAAGGTTGCTGAAGAAAACACTACTGTTGCATACACCTATGTCTTGACCGCTTGACTCGCTAACGCAATTTAGGTGATTACGCTATTTGTTGGATTAGGAGTTGGTTCTTTATCAGGATCTAGTTTTTACCATCTCCTTCCTCAGGTAAAGTAATTTTTTGAGCAAAATCGAGCTCTGAAATCTCTGGGGTCAAATGCGGGTGACGGTAAACGGCAAAATCGCACTTCAGCATCCCGCCTTTGTGAGCGACGGTCGCGGCGCGGTTTCGGCACTAGGGCATCATGGTCAACTATCGTCACCAGCGAGTAACATCTTAAGTTGACTACTAAGAAGTCAGCATGGGAACATCACCACACTATACTCACAAAAGCATCGAATCTTGTATAATGATGATGATGATGTGGCGTTTCCCACTAAAGTTCCGTTGAACTGGAGGCAAAGCTCTGTAAGGAGGTAAAAGCGTCTTCTCATCATGTTTAGGCACCTCGCCCATCAACGTGGGGGCATTTCCTCGTAAGTCTACCCGCTACCTTATTTTAAGCATTCTGCGCTTACGGCTTCTTTATGATCTGTAGAGAGCAGTTGGGAACAGCTCCCATACACTTCATCAATGTCGCAGGAATTCAAGCAATTTGGCGTGTTCATTTCGCGGGTCCCGCAGCTCCCCCAGTTATGCGAAGCATTAGGGCACCTTTATACGCAACGCTTCTGACTAAGTGCCTTCCCTATCTGCGGAGACGGTGGCAGGAGGTGTACGCATTGATTTGTGCCTTGAACATTCAACGGGTTGGTTCAGATAATTTTCGGTTGACTCAGTGGAGCCGTTCCGGTGAAGCATTTTGTCCAGCTTTTGGATTTGACCGCATCAAGTTGGTTGAGTATGGCGAGTCTTTCTACATTCCTTACAGTGATTGACATCTGAAAAGTGATTACACACACTGGAGAAAGGAGTTCACTTCGCTTTTGAATGGGTAATTTTGTTAACTAAGTGTACATTATAATAGCCAGCATCATGCAAGTCATTTAAAGTGCTCGAATTGAAACATCTACTTTGCTTCTCTTAGAGTTGGTCAGGTGCGCGCCTGATACTGGATTGTGTAAAATATGAGCGCTTTCATACTTCGTGGTTGTATGAGCGCGTGCAGCGTCTTCAAGGTAATCGTGCCGGGACCGCGCGCCGAATGCTGAAGGGCGATTTTGCCCTTTACCTTACGTCGTCAAATGCTGTCTCAACATCACTCGACTTCTGTGTGTTTCTCTTTATTACTCCAACGTTCAGGCTCATCCGTCTCTTATGGAGGAGATAGACGTAGATGGACATTTAACACACTCGTATCTTCACATGGCCCACTTTTCACTCATCGGAGTGTATTTATTCTTTATGTGCGACAAAATCATAAAGATTGTGCTCGAAATGAGAAAAGTGAGTTCTGCGTGTACTTAAAGACAGTTCCCGCGATCAAGTGATCCGCTAAATGCCTCCGTGCATTTGGCACCCGGGTCCGCACTGGCAGGGAATGAACCACTTTCGTCACTCGAAACGGCGAAATAAGGAAGCTAGAAACGCGTGGGTGTTGCAACCATCGCAACCACGATTACTTTCGCTTTGCAAAACCACGGCGCACAAGCGGAATTCATGCGTACATAGTGTTGCGTGGAGCGTGGTAGGGCGATTTTCTATGCTGCTGGGAATTGGCTGCACGTGGAATTCTAATTGGACTTCTCCGAGGTCCGCCAAACTCGTCCAAGGCGCCGGCCCACTGCTAAGTAGAGTCCATGTTTGGAGTGTTTCTGAAAGGTTTTTTTCGCTTTTCTCTACTGAGAAGTTAATTATGGGCCAGTCGTTTTTGTCTGAGCGCCTACTACCCGTTAAACGTGATCGCGGAGATTTTCTTTGAGTTTAGTGCTTTGGTAACGGCAGGGAATTTCGTTGACTAAATTCGTCCTTCAAGATGACCAGCAGCGTTGAGAAATCCTTCTATTCTATAAAGCAGAAACTTTGTGTGTCGGTTGTCGGTCTGTATGTATGTAAGTATGTATGTTTGTCCGTCCGCAAAATGCTTCACGAGTTCGAGTTCGCTGGAGGCGAAAACGACCGCTAGGCAAACAGGCAATTCGGTGCGGAATCAATCCAATGTTTTGATCGTGATATCGGCCTCCGCTATATAAGAACGAACGCATTCGTGAAGCTCACGACCATTCGGTCTGACCATTGAGCTGCCTGGCGTGGCAAGCTGGACGTGTGCTCGGTGCGGGACAGGTGGGGTGGGCCGAGAGAGAGGGCGGGGGGGGCACTGGCCCCCCCGCCTCTGCTTTCCTTGCCCTGCGCGGTGCTCATCCGATCTGAGCATGCGCAAGAGAAAGCAAGCAGAGGGAACGGTCCGACTGGAACACTGCGGCGTTTTTTCAAGATATGATATAGGTTGGCAACAGAATGTGGTAGATTTGCTAGCTGATAAAGGAGTTAGAGTGGAAAGCACAACATCCTCATAACGCGTTACACAGCATCAGCTTAGGCGTTGATTTCAGCAAATGATATCAAGGGGAAGGTGGAGAAGGCGACGGCGGCGTGAAAGGAACATGATAACTGATAGGTCTGATAGAAGACGATGCAGTTGTTGCTCAGTCAAAAGCTGAAGCCTCTTTACCACGAAATTAATGGAGTTTATTTATAACGACATTGATGACGGGTGACAAGCAGTTTTATCAGTTGATAAGTAAAGATAAGGGGACATTCTCACGACATCTCTCGAGCACTATAAAAAAGCCTCTCAGTAAGCAAATTTTTCCCACAGCCATCAACTCTTTGATAGCACTAAAAAATGTACTCGTCCCACTAGGGGGGGGGGGTATATACTTCGCCTGAAACAGGAAGTTTTGGAAAAATCAAAAACTTTCAATATTGAGCACAACTTATATGCGTTCAGTGAGTATTTTACTTCTTTTTTGCTTTTTCAAACTTTTAATCACTGATGAGAACGAATAACGAAGTAGTTTGTGAGATATGTTTTTTGAGTATGCCTGATGTATGCAAGTATGAGGGTGCAGATTTTGGCTAGTTACTCTGTCTATTATGATTCACCCACCACTGCGCAATTTGAGCAGCTTCATGCAATTCACAAATTCCATCCCGTTATGATGCGCCCCCTGGTGAAGCCTAGCCAGCTTGGCAAAGCCGGCTACAAAGAAGGAGGAGCGCCCGGCGGCAGCTGGGCGATCCGACTGGCGATTCAAAGAGGAACGAAGCTCAAAGAGAACGCTAAGAGAGCTCAGTATTTACGAACGCGCAGCCTAAATATTGTCATCGTGCAGCCATTCATGCAACCTTAGCAGGTGGATTGCATGTTAATGACAGGTTAATCGCCCACCGTTGTGTTGCAGGTAATAAAAACGGGATTTGTTCGTCTACTGTGCAACACATATTGATATTCTGTACTTCCTTTATACTTCTAAGATCTACGTATAGAATGGGCGTTATGGCCGAAACCAGCAGGCCTTCTGCAAATATGAGGGGTACAGATTTCGCTAGGTTACTCTGTCTATTATGATTCGCCACTAGCGCGCAATATGAGCAGCTCAGGCAATTAACAAATTCCTTTCCGTGCGCCTGGCGAAGCCAGGCCAGCTCGGCGAAGCCGAGCTGAAAAGAAGGAGGAGAGCTCGGCGTCAGCCGGGCGATCCGACTGGTATAGAAATAAAGTAGAGATAGCAAAAAAACACTGATTAAGAATGACCAAGCGGCTACTAAGTGTGTGCGCTATCAACATGTTTTTGGTTACAACTTTTTGTTTGTAAGAAAACTGGGGTGATAAAATGCCACCGTAAGCCGCGCTCATCTTGCGTCAGCGTTTTGAGAGCACGGCAGCGTTTTGAGCATTCCGCGGCTGAGAAAAGAATGTGTCGTTCTAGGGTTTTGTGCGTACGCCAGTTTTTAAGCGCTTTTGCGGGCTTTTGGCGGGCACTCACTAAGACCTCTAACGTACTCTCGGAACGCTAACGCCAAGTATGATCGCGGCCTTAGGAATCTTTGTGATCTCCGTAGAAAATAAATAATTGTCAATGTTCTTGTTAACAGAGCTAATGACATTGAGTGACAGAGAGAAAGTTTACTAGAAAAAATTGTTTGGATCTTTAATTCTGCAGATCTGATCTTTCTCTTCTCATATAATGGCATTTTGCAATAGTTCGTTTTTGAGTCACACATTATCAAGACGACGCCCACAGTAATGACGAGGTAGCACTGTTTGCGCTCTTCCTAATGCAAACATTGGAGAAATATGAAAGTCAATATAGATGAGCTGCATTTGAACGTGAGCAGTTCATACTGTAGTGTTTCACGTAGTGCTGTAAAAATACAGGATAGAGAATCACCGCCATGTTCAGCTTCACAGGTGGGACCGAGGATATTACCTAGTTGTTTAATAGATATCAGAGGCGGAGGTGGTGTAGTGGCAAGTAGGCGCGCTTACCACGCACGCGGTCAGGGGTTCAAATCTCGGATAGCTTCCGCCCAAGCCAAGCAAGCTTCTTCCTTCCTTGGAAGGTACCAGATTCGTCTAGGAGCTAAAAACTCTGACTTGTACATCGGCTGCCCCCGCAAGTCGTTATGTAGCTCACACTGCATTCAGTGACCACTGCGCGTCTGAATGGAAGTGGAAAGTATGCCGAATCCCAAAAAAGAATTTATCGACGGCCAGGACTGTATTGTTTTTTTTATGGTGCATAAAACCTTTATTTAAGCGCAACCGTTCACAAATCATGACCGTGCAAGTATCCGATCGGGATGAGTTGTCAAATCGAAGCGATTCTGCTCTTGTCTCGAACAGACAAGATTTTCACGAACGGGTAAGAATGTCCTCTTTACAAACAGGCTGAAGAGGTACAGTACATACAGTATTTGTGTTTCTTTCTTGTTCTTGGTTATTACTCGTTGAATTCGCATTGAAGGGTGCTATGAGTAAGGCAGACACGGCCGACATCGAAATGATGAAACTTGAGAACAATGCTGGTAAATCGATGGGTGATCAGGTAATCTATGAAACTTCTTTCTTCGCATCATCTTTTACTGTCTTCTTTATTTTCGTATCAACATTTTGGATTTTATCGTATTGTCAGTGATGTTTTGAAGGGCCTCAAGCTCAGAGGGGTTTCTTTTAGTATAGAATAACTTCATAGTTGTCCGAAAGAGCGGTTTCATAGCCGCTATTTTTTCCCCTCGGAAACAATTAATTTCTTACAGAACATATTCCTATTCGCACTTGGTAATTCCGTTATGAAGCGAATTTTATTTTTTGTTGGCGAAAACGGGCAAATTCATGTTCGCGGTTCCATTTAGTGCTTTTCCTCTCGACGTCATTGCAAGATGTCTTCTCTTCGGATTTTCGGAGCCATTTTTAAAACGAGCACGTTGAACGAGCACGAAATTGGCGACGAGAATAGCCATCACCGAAGTTCTGTCAGTATGAATGGCAATTTCCTTTTCTTCCTTCGTTTTCAAGTTTATTTGGTGCCTGAGCACTAACACAACTGTTTGAGGCAGTGTTGGTATACTTCGTTAAACTTAAACAGTTTTTAATACAATACAGTGTGTCCAGTGTGTGTACATAGCGCCTGCCTGCTCACGGATGTTCTCCAAGGAATGAATGGTTTAGTTGCTACAGTTAACAAGGGAACCTCAACAGGTGGTTTCGACCATTTGCAAAGAGATGTATATATACCATTTTCACTTTAAATTCATCCTTTTTCGAACCAAATTCACAATTTTTAAATCAAATTCACCCCTTTCAAACCAAATTCACATTCACTTTTCACATCAAATTAACCATACTTATCAGGGCGGGCAACTCATCAACCAGATCACGCCAGACACCACTGCGAGCCCCGCCCCGACACCACGCCCACTTGTCAGTGCGGACATAGGTTCTCAAATCTTGTTTCATAACTTCTGCTTTTGCTGTTTTCCACGAACACTTTGACTGGGAACCACCAGGTATTGACACATGGCCGAGTCCGCCCATTCTCTAAAGAATTTGGCAATCTAGGCTGGCCACGCCCACTTGCTTTTTGCGGAATTTCGATGTTTTTTTTCAAAATTTGTGCATTTCAGGGCTGCTGCGTGAAGCCCCGCCCACTGTGAGATGCTCCGCCTACTAATAAGGCCCGCACACTATGAGATGCCCCCCCGCTGTGAATAAGCCCCGCCCACTTTTCAAAAAATGGTCAGATCGGCAGTATAGAGCCATGGCTTGCATGCCATGCTAATCATTCGGAATGAACTTTGCCTGATTTTCTTGTTCCTAGGGACGAACGAGACCCTAGCATGCAAGCCATGTCTCTATACTGCCGACTTGCACCATTTTTCAAAAGCAGGCGGGGCTTCTTCAAAGTGGGCGGAGCATCTCACAGTGGGCGCGGCTTCACACAGCAGCCCTGAAATGCAAAAATTTTGAAAAAATATCGAAATTCCGAGATAAGCCAGTGGGCGTGGTCGGCCTAGATTGCCAAAACCTTTAGAGAACGGGCGGAGTCGGCCGTGTGTCAATGCCCGGTGGTTTCCAGTCAAAGTGTTTGTGGGAAACAGCAAAAGCAGAAGTTATGAAACAAGATTTGAGAACCTATGTCCGCGCTGGCAAGTGGGCGTGGCCGTCGGGGCGGGACTCACAGTGTCTGTCTTGATGGGCCCGCCCTAATAAGTGTGGTTAAATTGATGTGAAAAGTGAGGGTGAATCTGGTCTGAAAAAGGGTGAATTTGGTTTGAAAAAGGGTGAATTTATTTTGAAAAAGGGTGAATTTGAAGTGAAAATGGTATATATGGACGTGTTTTGAGCAGCTGAACTCGAATCTTCCCTCGGAATTCGGTTCTGTGGAGGGAGTTACGGACCATTTATTCTCTGCTCTGTTCGCACAAGTTGGGAACGATAACTGCAGCTCGCATCTATTCCTACACCGTCCGCGCAACACGTGTCGACCGCGATGCTTCTGGCATTTTGCCAATCTTTGGTGATTCATGCTTTCTAGTAGCGGCTAGAGAGTAAACCTCGCGCTGTGGGACTTGTTAAACTTGAATTAAAGCGTTTTTGGTTTTTGGGTTTCAAACCTCTTCTGAAGCACGATCTCAATGAGAAGGACGTGAATGAAGGAGCAGTAAGCCTTTCTTGAACTCAATACTTTCTGCGAGCGCTATTTCATTGAGTAGGACGTGAAATGAGGGGCAGTTAGTCAGCTTTTTCGACACTTTTTTCCTGACCTTCCAGGTGTGGGCACTATTTAAACATGGCTACTCCAATACTATGAAATCAGGCAGCTTCTTACCTAGCTCTTTGTGAGTAAGCAGATTTGGCTAAAAATTTGTTTTAATCTGTACTTCGACCTCCACACGAACATGGCATCCGCTTGGCCTGGAACTGCCTGGCGTCGCGCCACAGGCGCCGGTGCCAAAATTCCTTGACACCAAGTTCGCTGAGAACTTGTACCCTGTATCAGTTTGACATCCAAAACATGAGTATCACATCCGCTTGGTCCGGAGCCACTGACGCCGACGCCAAAATACCCTCAACCGCCCAAATTAAGAAAAACTTGCATATGGAGATTATTTGACATTCTGGTTGCGAACATGACGATCATTCCTGGCGCCTGCGCTAGTGAAAGATACTACGATCATGCACGCTCTTTTGAGGTTGAACGTGGCCCAAAAACCCATCCCTCAGGTTCGGTTTACCAGAGCGCTAGATCGAAAAATTAACGTCATTTCAGTGATCAGGATACCAAGCAAACCCGTTATGCGATTTTTCATCGATTCTGGTGGAAAATTTCGCTCAATAGCGCCAGGGCCAAAAATGAATGTCGTGTTCGTGGCACCGAAAACTCCAGTATGTAAGTTCACACTGATTTTGATATGCAAGTTGTTGGCTCCAGCGTTACCACGAGTGTGACTCTTGGTCAGAGCATCGAATAACATAAATAAACCTTCACCAATTTTTTTTCGACCTCTTAGGGTCGTAATCGTCGAGTAGTACACGGACCTGTTTACTGCGCGCCCTCGCTGTATTGTGTTATATGTTACTTAATATCGATTACCAGCCGGCTTCGCGGGCTGACGCCGGCGCCTTTTTCTGAGATACGGCACGACTTCGCAGGGCGGGCGCGGCTCCACCGCGCTACCTTTTTCCCACAGATTTCAATACCCGCCTAGTATTCGGCTTTTCTTTCATCTGAACGGATGATCAACATTATTTCACCAATAGCACCATATCAGCTACTTTCAACACTAGTACGGTGCATGAAATGGTGGAAAGGAGCGTTGATCAAGTGGACAGATGAGAGGAAAGCCGGGTATTAATCCAGCATTCGATCTACGAACGCTGTAGGTGCGACGGAGCCACGCCCTGCAATTCCGGGCTGTATCACAGAGGGGGTCTGGAGTGCCTGGACTGCTTTGGAATCGCTTGAGGAATTTCTAACATTGACCCCGCTTTCCTCAACGAGCGCTCCACCCACAACGTATGCCTTGCGCTTCTCTCCGGTGTCTGGAGTGCTCTGGAACCGTTTTACAAATTTTTTAAATCTGGCTCCACCCACCTCGGGGCACGCTCCGCCCGCAACGTATGCATCGCGCTTCTCAACTGATAAACCCTCGCTGGTCTGGAACTACTTTTCCCGCTGTCTGGAGTGCTTTGAGAGCATTTTGCGAATTCTTTCCGGATTTGGCTCCGCCCACCTCGGTGCAGGCTCCACCCACAACGGGAGTACCCCGCACGTTTATACATTTGATCACTTTGGGACCATAATCCAACTTTTTGGCACCATCTGTAGTGATTAGGACCGAACTACGACTTTTTATACTGTTCCTCGTGCTCAAATGCACGCCCCGCCCACTGTGGGTGGGCCCCAGCACGCCGCAAACATGGTGGACTCTTGCAAAATATTCTTCTTCGTCATTGACTTCGTCGTGCGCTCCCTAAACATTTTCGGGAACCAAGTTACTGACCTTTGTGGGAAGCGCCGCCCATCTCACGCCCCGCCCATTGGTGTCTCTCCATTTGGTGTGCCAGCCCAGTGCTAACCTACTTCCCTTTTTCCAGTCTCCCAGCTGCTTCGTAGGCAAGTGATGGTGATTTTTCAGTGTCACGGGAAGCGCCGCCCGTCTCAAGTATGCCCCGCCCATTTCGTGTGTCTCCTCTGTTTGGTCAGTCAGGCCTTTGTTAACCTCTCTGCACTATTTTCTCATCTCGGGACTGCTCTGGAATCGAGTTATGACTTTTTTTCAGTGACGTCGCTAACTTTTGACGCACTCCCCCCCACTGTGGGCGGGGCTTGCCATGGGTCATTGGTGCTGTTAAGATGTTGTCCCATGCTCTACTCATCCCCACCATGACCCGACCTCTCCAAGCTCTTCTTCAGGTGCTATGAATTTCGTGACAGACAGACGCACACACACACGCACGGACATAGCCGAATATATTAGTAGAATTATCTGTAAATGCTTCCTTGTCCTCCTCATCAAATGGCGCTTGCGAGGAGCATGGAACTCTCGGTTGGTCAACTGCTCCTCATTTTACGCGCATGTCATTGAAATCAAGGTTTCGATGGGCAAGGAAATTAAAGAAGGCTTACTGCTCCTCACCCGTACACGGAGAGAGATTTGCACTCTAATCGCTATAAAGCGTGAGTCACTGAAGATTGGCAAAATGCCAGGAGCACCGCGCGCAACACGCGTTGCGCGGACGGTGTAGGAATAGATGCGACCATAACTGCATGTGGCAGGCGGCCGGTGTTGCAGTGGATAAACGCACTGCTTCAGAGATACTGGTCACACGTTGGGATCCGTATCTCTTGGAAATTTTTGCTTTTGTTCAAAACAGTTCATATAAGTCCCCAAAATACTTCTGTTTGGCAAGTACCTAGTTCTTTAATTATTTGACTTTAGGAGGCGGCCAATTCTCCATTTGTGATTCCTTTTGAAATTCTTTTTAATATGAGGATATCTATTTCTAGAGCTTGCATTAAAAAATGAGTATCTTACGGTTTAAGATCACATGTAGCATTTGTGGGTGCTTTCAAGACCTAGGATTAATGTAATCCTTTTATGCCGAATAACTCGATGGTCCAGTGGAATGTTATAATAGAGAGCGAGAGAGAGAGAGAGAGAAGAGAGGAGAGAGAAAGAAGAGAGAGGAGAGGAGAGAGAGAGAGCTCAAAGCTTTATCTGGTCAACGCAGAAGGAACAGCAAAAGACAGAATGAGTACGATTGTTCTCGTTACTACAACGGTATGCCCCGCCCCCGACAGTTGGCGAAGGGGCATCATTGGCGACGATGATCGTATTCTTCCACGAAATGATAGAAACAAAAAAGTTCTCGCAATGAGCTGAGCGAATGAAGAAGTACTCTCCGCACACGGTACAGTTACAGCTCTCTACCAGTCCAGGGGGAAAGCAGTACTGAAATTTTGTCTTACATGATCTGTGCAGAATTATCCGATATGATCAGCTTTCATTGTTATGATCTACCGACACGTGGAATT